AAGATTCAGCAGTTTTCCACCAGAGAGACAAGTTTGGTCTCATCTTTTATAATACTGCCACTGCTCTTTGCAAGAGTAAAAACGTTGTCCTTCAAGTAAGTATATCTTTTACATAGTTGTTTGCTATAACGGTTTGCAGTTTTGTCCAGGCGTTTCAGCGATCCATTCGTATTAGAAAACAAATGATTTCGAATGCAAATTATCAAATAATGTCATTTGAATGAGGGGGTTACCAGACTGGATATCAAAACACGATGACATTACTGCTCTAGATCTGGCCGTAAATGGCATAAGGGGACTGAAACACAGCAGCTGAAACAGAACGAAACAGTCCGAGATGACTGGACGATTAGAATACAGTGTGAAATAGTTATATAATATCCATAGATTTTAGCTTGCTTGCTTTGGCGTTCTCGTTCGCGTGTTACTGACAATTTACCGTGAATAAATGACCCGACCGTTCTTTCAAATCACTCATTCATTTAAATAAAGCAGCTAGCAGAAGTGTAGAACCGTGTCTATGTAATATAAGGTCGATAGTGTTTCGTGTATCARTTTCAAGTCATCTCTTGTGTTTCTTCGCTGTAGTCTTCTACCCACGTCACGCAATGTTCACTTCGTGACGACACTAGCGSCTGCGTGAACTACCTTCTCTGCGCCAAATCCAGCGTCAATTGCGAAATCCCTCAATACGTTTGGCATCTATACTCAGTGTACTCACAAATATCAAAAAGCTCCTTTGCTTCATATTRGTAGTTAGCCACAAAATTACATTTAATATGAAATCAGGTGTTTACATCAAAATACCAACCAAGCTGGGGATTTCCCTAAAAACTCGTTTATGATRATAAACTGAGCTAAGCAAGAACGTCATTTGTCAAAACTCCGACCAATGTCTTGCACAGAATTGAGGTGACATGTCTAAATAGGAATTTCACTTTCTCATTTGAGGGTGTTTTGCGTGGTTTTAATATAAACATCACAAAAACTTGTTTCACTTTCCCTTTCACTTTTCAGTCCTTTTTSATCCTCAAAATCCTTCGGCATTTGGTTTTCTTTTGCTGTCCTCGAAAAAACCTTGACTTACTGAAGGATTTAGCAATCCTTTATGATATCTTTCTCTCTCTCTTTGTGAATGGATGGTTAATGAATGTAAGATTACATGCCGCGGTTTCAGTTCTGGGGGGTTCTGATCGCTTGTAAAAGCTGCGTAGACAAGACTCGCTTTCTCTTTTATTTCTTCTCCTCGAAGCTAAAGTAGCTTTCTGTTCATCATTATCTTGTACTGTTCTTCCTTCTCTTCAATCTTGGGAAAAAAGATCTTCGACTGTTCTTTCAAATGCGCCTCTTCAATCTTGGGGAAAACATCTTCGATAGTTCTTCCAAATGCGCCTCTTCAATCTTGGGAAACATCTTCCAAACTCGTGGGGTGGGGGGATTACATTATCATACACGTTAAGGTGGCTGGACCCCCTCACGCTTGACCGCTACCTTCCACTTTTGGAACGCTGGCGCATAAACGTGTTTTATCCGATTGCAAATCTTTTTTGCACATAAGTCACATAAAGATTGAATTAATGTTTGATGTAATTTTTAGTGAGATCGCACGTCATAACACGTGATTATGATGAAATATTTGTTTTCGTTTAGAAAATAA